GGCTTCCACTCCCATCCATCCTCCACAGAGAGCCTCTTACGTGTGACCTGGGTCACACCCTTCCCTGAAACCCTCTGAATGGCATTCTGTTAACTCAGAATAAAATACAGGTTGCTGCCCACATGGTGGGCCCCAGGCTGCCTCTCATCCTTACTTCCCCCTCGTCTCATGTATACAGTGTGTCTTTGCCATGCTTGTCACTCTGGCCCTCAGTCTGTTTGTGCTGTCTGCTCAGGAGTTTTCTTCCCACCTTTTCCCCAGCCAGGATTTATCTCAGATGACCCCTCCTCATAAACATCTTCCCACACCCCCAGAGATAAAATGCCCTATTTGATCTCTTGCCTAGCATTTAACGAGACATCTTATTCACCTCTGTATATGTTTGTTGCTTGTTTCCCTCACTGGAAGACAACACTTAAGAGTAATAACTCTGTGTTGTTTACTGTTATACCCCAGGACAGCAAATGTTTATTGATGCCAGAATAAGATATCGATGGTCTAGAGTAATTTGCATATTGGTCTGGAAAGAGCTAGAGATTTGGTATCTACATAACTCTGATGTGGACACTTTTAACTTGAATAACAAGTTATTCAGCAACGTGGGGTAGTTTCTTCTTCTGAAAGAAGTATCGTGAGAGTTACAGAAAGTATATGAAGTGCTACGAGGACAGTGCTTCCCACGTAGCAGAGGCTCTAAGAATGTAGGTAGGTAAAATGGGCCTATATGGTTCCCGGTCCAATGCCATTCGCATCATCCCATTACATGGACGTTGGGATGAAATGAAGAGTCAGGGAAAAGGTAAGAGTGTAAAGGAAGATTCTGGAACCATTGTGGCATCCCAAAGAGACAGTCGGTTGACCCTTTTGAAGTGACAGTTGAAGTATGATCATGTTCGCAGAGTGTGACTCTCTCTAAATGACTGTTAAAATCCATCATTCTAGAAGAGCAAAGAAGCAAGCATACCCCATACTTTCAAAGCTCTGGTTTCTAGTCTGTTTCTGGTGAGCAAGAGAACCTCCCTTTTAGCCAAGAGCAAGGGTTCCTCAGCCTCTGGGGCTGAGTCTTCTCATTGCTTCTCCTCCCAAGCTGTAGATGGAAAGGCCTCTCTCGGTGCCTTGTTTCCCTAATCCAGGACCCAGACAGTGTCAGATACTTAGACCTTGGACCAAGGAGGAGGATGGAGAAACAAGGGCAGAGCCAGGGAGGTAGGTAGAGCCCAATTCAGGCCTGTACACAAAGGTTCCACTATGTGAATGGTTGGCAGCATGCAAATTGTATTTACTCAACATGGCAACAGCTTGGGGGAAGTTCTGTGCTGTCCAGACACAGGCCTCCTCAGTTCTCAGAAGAAAGTCCCATAGAAATGGAAAGTAAACACCAGAGGTGATTTTTTTCTGGCCTAGGCAGAGTCAGACAGGAACACAGGAGTAGATTCCAAGCTGGCTGGCAGAGCCTGGCTGAAACGTGGCAGGGAGAGTTTGGTAAGCAAGATCTGGGCCCAGGAAAATGGAGTGGAGCCCTGCCATCTGGAAAGACGAGTGTCCACTAAAGCAGGACATGAAAGGAGATGAGTCCAGAAACAGGATTGAAGACATAGAGATTGGCCAGAGAAGAGGGGACCAGCTGAGGTCTAAGCAGTGACTCAGGCTCAGTCCAGATGCAGGCTGGGGAGGGCCTGTGACCCGTGTGGTCCTAAAGGGTAAGTTAGGGTGTCAGTGACTCTGGGAACAGGTTCAACCCTGACCCTGCAGGCTGAGTTGGATGTGGGCAGGGGCAAGAAAGCACCCTTCCATCAAGACGTTCAACGTTCTGGCTCTGTGTTAAATACCTTATGGATGTCTTAGGGACAGAGAAAGAACACTTAATCCCAGGAAGGGGTCCCAGAAAAGTCTGGAACTAGGGCAGGGACACTGAAGTCCTTCTCCGTCAGGGTAAGAGCATGGCCCTACCAAAGCAGCCACAGTGCTGAGAGAGAAAGCTAGAGAAGTCGCTCGCTAACCTGGAACTGAGGAGTTGCCTTTGAACCACTGGTGGCGGTTAGTAGTTGCACCTGCCAGAATCATAAGGAAAATCCAGGCAGAGCCTCAAACAGGCTGGGCCATTGACTTCTGCCCGTCTCCAAGGGTATGCTTCTCCCATTGTACCTGTGCAACCCAGTGGCTAAGAATAATTTCACTTTTTATATACAGCACTTCGCAGTTTTCAAAGCACCTTCACAAATTATACTACTCGCCTGATACCGCTTGCTGGATTATCAGGTGTTGGAGTAAAGTGTTTCATAGATTATCCTGTTTGGCTTCTCCTGTGTGACTCTGGCTAAGTTACTTGCCCTCTCTGGGCTTCTGTGTGCCAGCACAGAAGAAGAGTCTGGACAGGGACTGGTGGTGAGTGGATTTGCCAGGCTTCAACAAGCTCTGGAGTCCTTAGCCATTCTAAAGAAAAGTCATTCATTGGGCTCCAGGAAAACAAACTCAGATGTATCATAATCTTTCCTTCAACCCAGCTTTTAAGTCCTAAATGCTTCCAGAAGCCTCATAGTTCTATCATTTCTGAGCGCCTTGCCAAGCCCAGTTTTGAGACAAGGAAGTTAGGGAGGAGTTTTTTATTCCTGTACAGCTCTATTTTTATCTGGAATGTATCTTCCTGCACACCAGTGATTGGTGCCTTCGAAGCTGAGGTAAAGTACGCTGTCAGCAGGACCCGAGCAATAAATAGCCATGGACAGAGAGACTGATCTGTTATGTGGGCAGGAAGTTAGACAGATGGACAAACCAATCAGCCCAGCGTCTTTGCCAAGAGTGGCTCAGTTAATCACACTGTGCCTAAAGCCTCTCAGTAGCTCCTGAGGGACAAGATGTTTGCCTGTGACCACGCCCATCATGGCAGGTGTGGAAGGAAGACAGGTGTGAGTCCTGTGAGCACTGCCCAGGAGGGCACGACTCAGTGGGCCTCAGATGCCCCCATGCCTCCCCGGCATTATGGGTAGCCCTGGCACCCTGAACGGAGGTGAATCCTTTCAGATCTTTGTGCAAAGTCAGTATTGGGTGTTTAGGCTGGAATGGGCTTGACCTTGAATTATAACAGGAAACAGTAAAGACCAACTGTTCTTTCCTCCAGAACAGCCTGTTCGCAGATCTGAAGGTCTGTGCTCCCAGCCATGCCTTTCCATGTCTAAGCAAAGCCTTCTCTGTGGAGCTTGGCCCCATTTACTTAACTTCACAACCAAAAATTAGTGAGGGTTAGGGCTTGCCCTGCCCCTGGTCCAACCAGGCGGGTCTAGGACAACCAGTGACATTTGCTTTGGAGGGAGCACCCAAATAAGAAAGGCTGGAGACACCTTAGGGCACAGAAGGAGGGACCTAGAAGTGTGTGCACATGAGCTTGTTGCTCACGCATGCATGTGTGAGTGTGAGCATGCAGCCTATCGGGGCGCAAGCCTGCAGCTGGAAGGAGGCATGCCTTGTCTTTGTGGGCCACAAGCCCCCTGGAGGGATAAAGAGAGACTTTCTTGGGTCAGCCAATTTGCGGAGGGGACATGGCAGAGGGAGTTTGCAGCCATCATCGTGGTCCCAAACCAAAAGTCTAATGTCTATAGGACTGGACACTGAAAAAATACTAAAGCCAGGTGGTTACGTGGGCCACATGCAACTCGGCAGAAGGAAGTGGCCACTGGTGGCTCTCACTGACTCACTGCATGTGTCTCTGTGACCAGGGGCACGTGGGAGCCAACAGTGGCCAGGGTGCATCTCGGTCAGGTCAGCAGCCTGGAGGCACCTCGAGGGGTGGCCGCAGAGGACCAGTGACAGAGCAGGGGCACAGGCATGCTTGTGGCCAACTTGGAGAAGTCTACCCTCCAGGTGGTTCCTCCAGCACAAAGGAACAGAGTGGGAGAGGAATGAGGTCTCTCGGTGAGGACGCCATGCAGAGCAGAAGCGCATCGTGCGCGTACCTAACCTGAATCACCGGATCGCCGGTACTAATAACAAGCCTTCTAAAGCTCTTAAGTGAATCATTCGGTCTGCAGACCAGCCCTAGGAGTGCTTTACGACTATATTATCCCTGTCGAGGCACAGGGAAGTGAAGCCATTTGCCCTGGTCACTGAGCCCATAAGACAGGGAACCACCCAGGGGTTGAGTCCAGGTGGTCCAGCTTTCATCGGCCATACTACCTGCCCCTCATATTATTTCTTTATTAATTTCTTTATTAATTTATCAATTAATAATTTCTTATTAATTCTTTATAATTAAATATATACCACACACTTCTTTGTCCAAGGCACTCATGGAGAGAGGACAGGACATATACAGGTTAAAAGTTCAATAAAGGGCACTTGCTTACCCCATTCTATACACTACAAGCCCTGCTTTCCAAGGCATCTTGCCAGCTCCCATTTCTGAAAGCCTCTTCTGACCAAGGGAAGGAGACTCCTGTGCCATCTATGCGATACCCTCTTTTCAGCCTGGGTCTTTGAAGAATGAGGAACAAGGGGCTTGTACACTTCCCAGATTCCTGGGTACCTCTTGGGGACAAGACCAAGTTTTGTTCCTCTCCGGACCCCCAGAGTCACACCCAGGACTGAGCACATCGTAAATATGCACTAAATGTGGTTGACTGGATGATTTTTAAAATCCCATGAGCTCCCTGGGTGGCTCAGTGGTTTGGCGCCTGCCTTCAGCCCAGGGAGTGATCCTGGAGACCCCAGATCGAGTCCCACGTCAGACTCCCTGCATGGAGCCTGCTTCTCCCTCTGCCCGTGTCTCTGCCTCTCTCTCTCTCTCTCTCTCTCTCTCTCTCTCTGTGTGTGTGTGTCTCTCTCATGAATAAATAAATAAAATCTTACCAAAAAAATCCTCAGATGCAGGGGCCAATTGCAAGAGGCTATTGAAATACCTCATTGTCACAGCTTCCCTGCTCCCTTGTGTGGCACCCAGGAACAACACTTGAGAAGAGCCAAGTGTATATTTGTCAATTAACTTTCGCTTCCCTTTGGTTTTCCAGGAAAGATCAGAGCCCAGTGCCAAAGTGGATGAATCGGCGCCCCCTTCTGTGGCCCAGCTGGCTGGGCTGTTCAGGGAGCAGGCTGCTGCTGCAAAGGAGGTGAGTCAGGCGGCTTCTGAGCCCCTCTTCTGGGAGGGGGCTGGAGGAAGGGGAAGTCTGGGTCAGGCCCAGAGGAGAGGGAGGGAGGAGGCTTGGTAATTACCAAATTAGGAAGAGAAGCCAGAGAGGGGTCCCTCTGAATGTGAGGAATGTGGCCATGTGGCTGGGCCTGTGCAGGATCTTTCCCCACCAGAGCGAGGCTTACACTCTGGCGGGGAGGGAGGAGACACAGGGCAGAGAGCTGGGAAGATGGGAGTCTGGATCCATTTCCATCTTCATCATCCACTGTGGGAGACTTAGATCCTGCCCTGCCGTGCCAGGCCTGGACTGGTTCAGAATAAAGAGATGACCACGCTCGACTCCTGCCCCAGAGCCCAGGAGTCTGGAGCAAGGCAAGACCCGGGGCGGATTCCAAATGGAGAACTGAAGAGGAAGAAAAACCCTCAGGGAAGTGCATTCAGATAGGAAACCAGGGATCCAGTGACCCATGGGCTCCAGGGGGATCCTGCTGGAGAGAACAGTGTGAAAAGAGAGAGTGCTAGAGAGATCTAGTCCCACAGTATGAAGGGCTCATTAGGAGTGACAGGAAGGAGGAACACCCCAAGGTGGGGGGTGGCCCCTTGAGGCAAACAAGGGCATAGCTATCAATCATGCTTTTTTAGGCACAGTATTTTGTGCTTTTGTTTTCCCATCTGAAAAAATCAGTACAGGAATGTCATGTCATAAAGGGTGAAGAAGATAGTGTTGATCTAAGGTGCTGTCAGAGCTTGGAAGCTGGAAGCAGGTGTCATTTTGAGATGTTGTCTCAGGCCAATGAATCTCAAGTAAAAGAAGATGCTCCAGCAGAAAATGATCAGGGCAGGAGCCTGGAAGTCCAAAGGGGTCGACAGTGGAATAGAATTAATGCATATAGCTATTGGGCAGCCTTAAAGACAGGCAACGCCTCCCTCCATCCTTTCTCTCCAGACATCCCTGACCATTCCTAAAACCAGCTTCCACTTCCTTCTCTTCCTCCCTGTTGCCTGATTACTCTCTCTTTCTCTCTCTGTGTGTCTGTCTGTCCCCCTCCCTCTAGACACCAGCCTGTAAACCAACAAGGAGGAAACCACCCTGCTCCCTCCCCCTGTTCCCCCCCAAGGTAGAGCTGGGCCAGAATGGTGAGGAGGTAAGTGCTGTGCCAGGGCTCAGGGGACACTGGTTATGGATCTGCTTTCTCCTTCTAGGAGGGGGCACAAAATGCACACATTTAGACCTTGAAACCTGTGCAGGCCATGTCTCCCTTTCAGGTTCAGGGCTGAATCTCCTCTTCTCAAGGCTTCCAGAATCCTTTACTGGGACATCAGGTTCCTTTCTACATTTTCTATGGGGCCTCCTTCAGGATTTGTCTAGGACGGGAACACTGTTTTCCAAGCCTGAGAATTTCAGCAAAGAGAACAGGCCATACAGTATTACCACGCCACCTTCAGGAGTCACAAAAGTTATATTTTACTCCAGGTCCAACTTCTATGATCTTCCTTGTGGAGAAGTCATCTGGAAAGAGAGGCTACACATACATAAGGCAGAGTCACCACACAAGAGAGTACTGTGGCTCCGTGCTATCCTTGTAATGGCTGGCCTCTGTTTTGGACCATTGGAAGAAAATCAGAGCACACAGAGGCCTCATTGCCTTCCCATATAAATAGCCAATGTTACCAACAAAAGAAAGGCTCTGGCATCACAGATCATAGCCAGCAATAGATTGCCAGACTGGGTATGTACTACCCTTATTTATCTAATTGTAGCTGTAAGAGTGACTTCTCTGCGCCCCGTCCCAGCAGCTCTGTGAACCTTCACTGTAGTACGTCATGGTCCTCCAGAAATGAACTTGCGTGTTCTTCTTGTCCATCCTGGGAGGCCAACCCCAAGAGAGAGCAAGCCAGCCAAAGACAGTTCAGTTTCCAAATCCCACTTCAACTACCTCTCTCCCCCTTCCTTTTCGGGGACCAGTGACCTGACTATAAATACTAGATACCCGTGTGACTGTGAGCACCTGTTGTAGTGACGATGTGGGGTCAAGCAACAGTTTTCAAGCCTTTCCCGCCCAAGGCTTACGTGCCGCAACCCATCAAGGAAAGCAGGAACTCATTGCTGCTCCTGCTTTATGGGGGTGTGGGCATCTAGAGCCCCACTGCTCTGAAACTACTCCCCCCAGGCACAGAACAAGGGTCTCCTTCGGGAGTGGGAATCCCAATTTCACAGTTTTTAAAAATTGAGGTTTTTGTTGACATTTCTTCAAGCACTGATATGATGATTCTGTGGCTTCACGGAGTTATTAGCCAGTGCTATGGCCAAATACATTCCAACAACTTCTCTTTATGGGGTCAACTTCTCCTTGTGACTTTTAGCCCTCGGGGCTTGGTGTCTGTGCCAGGCCACCTGTTGAGGCCATGGCCATTAGGAGCCTCCTGTGAGGCTGCCCTCTGATGACTTGGACTTAGCCCTGGAGAAGCCCCTGTCCTGCACCGAGCCTACTTCCTTATTTGTGAAATGGGACAGGAACACTAACCAGATGGGGACAGAACTGGGACATTTTATTCCCTGAAATAAAAGCAGAGTGAGTCAGGTTAGTTCATTGGCTCTAGGAGAAATAAATCTACAGGTTCATCCCACGGGGCACCACCCAGAAGCTAAACGGCAAGTGTGAGCCAAGGGCTAGATGAATAATAGGAGGCTAGCGTTTAGAACAAAAATCCTGCCTAGAGTGACAGGCTCCTTGCACATAGGAAGGACATTGCTTCCAGGATCAATGGAAGCACTTTCTGTCACTTGAAAATCATGTAGAAATAGAGAACAACCAGCTTTGTTTGGCTGGGCTGGATGGAGGCTGCTGCCTGCAGCTCTTCTCCACTCTTTAAGCCCAGCCTGCAGAAGCCCTAACTCTGGGAGCCTCAGGGGGCCTCAGGGTGGGGGCGGGGCAGTCAGGGTGCTGCTTAGTTCCCAATGCACAGGGCAGGGAAGGCTCTTTCCATCCCTTCTTCACTCCTGCCTCCTCCCTAGTCCTGCTCAGGCCTGAGCCAGTGGGGTGACCAGAGGAGTTATCCCTCTCTGCAGGACCCAACCTCAACAGTATTTAGGATAGCAGCAGACCCTGCCTCTTCTGCCTGAGAAGGGCTGAAAAGCACTCCCATCTGAAAAATCAGGTTGATATTTTCTAGACATTACAGGAGTGTCACATGTACACATGTAAACTGATACACAGAGCTGGAGGCGGGTTTTTCTCCAAGGCCACTGGCCTGGAGTCCTGTGTTAAATGCCAGAGGAAATGCTGCCACCTGCTGCCGTACCCAGGAACTGCACTAGCTGCTATTTTGGAATCTTCCAGCTTTGCAGTTCAAATCAACAAGGACTTTGTGGAGCAGGAGCTGGGTTCCCAGGGCTGTCCTATAGTGAACAGGCTGTGTTATTGAATGTCCACCCTCTTCAGAAGACAGTGGTCACTTGGGAAAGAGAAGAGTTTCTGGTATTACATAAAGTGAGCTTTGTAAGCAAAATCATTGTTGCAGTTCCCAAAACAGTATCTTTAGAAATACTGGCTCATGTGAAATTTCACCATAAAGCACAGAAATTAAGAACAACTGGTTTGGGGGGCACCTGGGTGGCTCAGGCGGTTAAGCATCTGCCTTCAGCTCAGGTCATGACCTCAGGGTCTTGGAATGATCCCTTGGCTCAATGGGGAATCTGCTTCTTCCTTTCCCTTTACCTCTGCCTCCCACTCATCCTCACCTGCTCTCTCAAATAAATAAGTAAAATCTTAAAAAAAAAAAAAAAGGAACAACTGATTTGGGGCTAGAAGCTCTTTGTATTCATCTGGGACACATGGCTCCTTGCAAGATTGTTCTAGGAATATGTCTGACAGTGTAAACTCATGGAGCCAGAGACACCTTCAAGCGGCAGAGTCCTTAGAATCATTTTTTTTTATGATAGTCAGAGAGAGAGAGAGAGAGAGAGAGGCAGAGACATAGGCAGAGGGAGAAGCAGGCTCCATGCACCAGGAGCCTGATGTGGGATTCGATCCCGGGTCTCCAGGATCGCGCCCTGGGCCAAAGGCAGGCGCCAAACTGCTGCGCCACCCAGGGATCCCCCCTTAGAATCATTTTTTAAATCGTATTATTTATTTGAGAGAGAGAGAGAGAATGAGCACAAGAACATGCATAAAGTGAGGAGAGGGGCAAAGGAAGGGAGAAGCAGACTCCCTGCTGAGCAGGGAGCCCAAAGTAGGGCTCAATCCCAGGACCCTGGGATCATGACCTGAGTGGAAATTAGTAGTCGTCCACTTACCTGACTAAGCCAGCCAGGCATCCCACGAATCATTTATTCTAACCCACCTGTCTGGGTCATGGTTGAGGAGGCTGAGGCCAGGGCACCCCTCTGGCTCCTGTCAAAGGCAGAGTCCCAGCTGGAAACTACCACTCCCATGCTTCTCACTCAGTGCTGGGCCTTAAAAAAGTCACAAGGAGTTCAATTGAGTAAGTCTTCCTCCTTCCATCACTAACAATCAGCTCCCAATAAATATCTCAGAATATTTCCAAGAGATTGGTGTTATTCTTCTTTTTATGATTCAGGTAAACTAGTACACGGGGGCGAGGAGCCCGTAACATACGCTTGATCTCCAAACTGTAGAAAAGTCCCTTTTCTGCCTTGGCCTCTGCTAAACAACGTGAAAGTCACCATCATCACCATCATCATCACTGTCATCACTCCTGCATGTTGAGGATCAGTTTACCTGTGGAACCAGACTCAAGCTGCAGGGACTTTACACAAAACAAGAAGTCCATTTTTTAGATAAAATAAAATAGAGACAGATTCCTGACATACATTCATCACAAAAATATCTCCAACTAACAGAATGTATGTATGGTTTTATGCATATGTATTAGCCATTGACTGCTTCTAGAGGCCAGGGACGAAATCATATTCATATAACCAACACAATGCCTGGAATGTAGTAGATAATAAATGTCAGCTTAATTGAAATGAAGTCAATGTTTTGGAAAAGGATAATCTATAAATAACACTATTGGTGGGATTTTCCAAAATAACATTAGTTCAAGGGAGGGATTTTGGTTAACTCCATGAGGTTTCACCTTTGGTCTGTGGCTTCTTGTTTTGTTTGTGCAAACAGAACACATGGTCATTTCACCCTTTCTCTTTGGAATTCCCTCCTATGGTTGGCTCACTTTGTTGAAAGTCATGAGGTGAAGATCTCATCCCATCAAATGGAGTCTGTTCTCTCGTAATGACCATGAAGTCATCCTTCCTGGACCAGGGGGCCTCCTGTGTCTCAGATCTGTCCTGCCAGCTCTGATTCATAGATTCAAGTGGTCTTGTTAGCTGTGAGATGGAGGAAGGGGTGGAGGGTAGTCTATGCCAGCCCAGGCCCTGACCAGGTAAGTAGGAGAGGCTGCAGCTAAGTGGGAAAGTTTGAGACCAACTTCTGCTCCTCTTCTTCCACTTGTGCTTTGCGGACTCCAGCCAGAATGCCACCTCCCTTCACCTCACTCATTTCATTGTCTTGGTCCATTTGCTCCATAGAAATCACCATCCAATGCAAGCCATCCTCCTAAAGTCAAGGTGAAGAGCTCTCCTCTGATTGAGAAGCTTCAGGTAAGTGCAGTATGGTTACCTCTGACCCCACGCCATCTCTTATCCAACACCGGCATGTCTTTGGGACTCCCGGGGGTAGTACCATCTGTCACCTGAAGAGTTGATCTCTGAGAACCAGCTATGGAGGATAAGGAGCTCTATCTAGGGGCCAAGGGCTAAAATAAGGATCACATCAAGCATGAGCTCATGTAGTAAACAGCTAATGGTGTTTGGTGGATAATGGGGTGCCTGAAGAGTCTGGAAAAAGACACTATATATAGCACAAGAAACACTCCAGGACTAGCCAAGTCCTCTCTACCAAGGTCTGAATGCCCCCACACCCCATTTTGATTTTAACACAGGACTGAAATTCAGCTGGTAGGCATTGCTTCGATGGGGCCAAATCTGTTGTTTGGAAAGCCTACCTCTCTACTACCTATCACCTTGTGAGCCCAGAGCCCCCGCCATCGTGCTCATAGCCGACTTTCCTGGAGAGTAAATACTGAGACCTAAAGGGTGTGTAACCACCCGATTCCTACTGCTTTATGTCAGGGTTTCTCAACCTGGGCAACATTTGGTCAGGATAATTTTGTGGCAGGGCACTGCCTTGTGCATTGCAAGATGTTTAGCAGCATCCCAGTCCTACCCACCAGGTGGCAGGAGCACTCTCCAACAAGTTGTGACAGTAAAAAAAAAAAGTCTCTAGGCATTTCCAAATGTCTCCTGGACCACTGGTCTAGAATTTTAGAGCAAGAAAACAGCAGAGCAGGCAGGAGGAGTTAATGAATGGTTTATGAAACACCTATACCCCATGTCAGTCCTCAAGGACGGGTTGCTGGAAAGGAAGGAGGAAGGTGCTCCTGAGGGGGGAACAGTGTGAGCTAAAGCACAGGGTACGGTTGGCGTATGTCTGGGCGGGCCCATGAAGGCCGCTCCAGCTTTAACCACAGGCTCTGTGCAAGCTCTTACACACTGTATCCTCCATCTGGGCCCAACTAAGAAAACAGCTCATCTACTTTGTTCTGGAGCCATTATTAGGGGTGTGTCAAGACAAGTAGCCACAGCTTCTGCAATTCCACCTCTGGGAGAGCCCTGGGATTTGGCCCCCAGCCTGATTTGGGGTTAAGAAAAGCATCTCTGGTTTCTGGCCATGAGCCCATTCTGTGGAGGGTGGGAGGGGGGCTCCACTGCCCTTGTTGCACTCCAGCTGCACAGAAGGAGTGGGGCTGTCTGTCACACTGGGAGGCTTGTAGGGATCCCATGTACAGGAGGGGGATCTCTCAGATGGGATCCAGATGTGGACATGGCCCATAGTAGCCAGCCAAGGGGTGTAGGCCAGGACCCGCACCTTTGCCTCCCTGCAGCCCACCTCAGCCCTCATCTGAATGCCAGGAATTAGTGCGTGCATGCTCTGTGCCCACAGTCTTGGGCTCCTTCCCCTTTCCCATCAGTAAAGAGCCTCTCTGGGAAGCATAGCAACTGAGGACGAGGTTGTGTTCGCCAGTCATTCAATCTCATTAAGAATATCAGCAACAGGATGACAATTTGGCCAGATTCCATAGGGAATTTACTTTGTTGGGAAGGATGGGGGCGGGGGGAGGGGGCAAGAACTAAGAAATGCACCATCAGCTAGACTTTTCATCTAAATATTCTATTAGATGAGTTATAAAGTATGATTTTTCCTCACTGGAGTACTCCATAATTCAGAGTTCAGGTTTCCTGCTGGCTAGCGAGATGTCTTTTGTTTGCAAGCAGTCTTAGAGAGGGAACTTACCACGCTTGGAACCGGGCAGGGAGAGAGACCTCCTTTATCACCCAGCCTAAGTATCCACTGCCCTGAAGCCCTGTGACCAAACCTGCCCCTGGTACTCATCACATGCTGCCCCTTAACATGGCTTGTGTTCACAGCATTGCCTTGTAACTTTCATATTTTTAATTCTTACCACGACTCAGTCTTGCCCATCTTCTAAGTTTTTTCTTAAAATCACAGTAGAAATACTGACACTTTTCTAAACATGAATAATGCTGTGTAGCCTGCAGGCCCTAAAGCACACGCAGGAGTTCCCCAAGACAACAGAGCCCCGCTGGAGGAAGGGAGCCCTGAGGGAGCTCTGGAAGGAGGGGGTGGGTGTGGGGTACGAGTGGGTGGTGGCTGGAGAGAGCGCCAGGGACTAGATCACAGAAGATTATTCAGGTCAGGCTCACTGGTTTGGACAAATAAAGAATCTGAGACTCAGAAAGGCTATTTATTGGACTCACTGAAGATCACACACCTATTAAGTGAAAGATCCAAGTCTTGCAGTTAGCTCTGTATGGAGAGCTTCCCTCTGCACCATCTGCCCCTCATGCCTTTCCCTTCCCTGTGAGGGTCCTGCGGTCCCTAGGACTGGAGGACGTCTCTGTACAAGGATTTGGTGACCAAGCAGGAGGAGTGCCTCTAGATGGCGCAAAAGAGGACCCGTGCTGACTGCGTTCCACACAGCTCTTCTGCACCATCTTCTCAGGGCCACCAGATGGACCTGCCCCCCACCCCTGCCTCCTCCCATACCCAATTTTTGGCTCCCTCAGACCTCAGTTCCCTTTGGGTAATCTCTCCCCTTTGTGGTCCTCCGGATTCATTTGAATCTGGTTTCACCTGCCCCACAATGGCCCAGATGGAGCACACACTGGCATCTGTTCTGCTAACTCCCTCCAAGGGCTGCGCAGCCTACTGTGTACACCACTCTGGCCATCTACCAACACGCCTTGAGAGACAAGCAGACCTGGCTTGAATCCCAGGGCAGGCTCCTTAGCTACTTTCCTGATGTGTGCAATGAGAACAAAAGGGAGCATATAGGGCTGTTGTAGAGGGAAAAGCTGCACGTGGCAGCAAATAGTAGGCATCCGGTAAGCAGAGACTACTACTGGCTCAGCCGAGAAAGCTGATAAAGGGGCTGACTTGCTGTGAGACCCAGTGCCTGAGGTGCTGGCAGTTGCTATCTCGGCCTCTGTCTATAAGCTGGGGCTGATCCAGGACATTTTTGTTGGCCCCAAATCAGTACTTTCTGGGCATTCTGGAATGCAGCCTGTGGTAAGTCAGGTAGCAGGAGATGGCTTGAGTATGCAGTGCTTCCTGGGGAAGGACATGCTATGACAATGGATGGTTGATGAGGAATTGGCACAAAGAGCCTCATGTTACCTAGCCCCAACCAGTTCCGGGCCACGTACCCAACAAGCTCAAGCGGGAACGCTCATCTTCTCCCACCCCTATCTGAAATGTCTCACTTTCTCTTGGCAGGCCAATTTAGCTTTTGATCCAGCGGCCCTGCTACCGGGGGCCTCCCCCAAGAGCCCTGGGCTTAAGGCTGTGGTGTCACCATTCCAGAGCCCACCTTCCACCCCCAGCAGCCCCGGTGTGCGGTCTCAGGCCGGGGAGCCAGAGGAGGTGCCAGTTAGCTTTGACCAGCCTCCTGAAGGGAGCCATCTGCCTTGTTACAATAAGGTAATGTCTGGGTTCAAAGCACTGTGGCATGTCTGTGGAGATGTAGGCTCTGGACAGTCCTCAATTATTTCTGCCATGATGTTGTCCTGGGGAAAGAAGGACATCTCTTCTTGCTAGTGATCTGTGACTGAGATGGCCCCTCTACCTGGCCTGCCTCATCTCCTCTCCCAGGAGCTGTGCCACTCACCCAGAAGGCACACTTGGGAGATAGAGAGCTCTAGCCTTTGTGGAGAAAGGGCTGAGAATTCAGAACTGATCCCAGCTGCACAGAACATTGTGTCAAAAGTTGAAAATAAAATCTAAAGCCCTGATCAGTGATTCACACAGAGGGTGGGCAGGGTCAGTAGGACTCCAAAACACGCTGTTCTGGCTTGATGTAAACACATCTAAGTGTCCCAGTATGGGCTCAACTCATTCTTACTGCAGCTTGCCCCATTTAAAGAGGATTCGAACTGTTCCGTTTGAAAAAGATGTACATAGGGCCTGTTTCTTTCATCAGATCCTCGGCCCTGCTATACACAGTAAGAATCAGAGGTACAATTGGATACAGCCCATGCAGGTGCTCAGCAAAGCTGGGCCAGAGCCAGGCAAGGGCCAACAAAAAGGGATCTGATGCCGGTTAATGGCAAATGGAGAGAACTTTACAGGTATGGATGGAAAGGGGTGTCTTCTGGACCATTTCAGAAAATCCATGGGGAAAAAGTCAAATGTGTAGAAACAGGAAGGACCCAAGGAAACAAACTGGTGCTAAGTCTTAAGCCTGCTGGCTGGGGATAGGGTGGAGACCCTCCAGCTCACGGTAAGCAGAGACGCCAGACAACTGAGAGGAACCCAGGCCAGAGCCTCCCCTTTTCACAAGGTGCTCGCTAGGGAGGTGGGGTCGGCAGTGAGGCGGGGCCACCCAGTTGTAATAACCGGATGGAGGTTTTAGCCTTCTGAGGCCAGCAGGGTGCAGGCAAAATTATTCCTGAACCTTGCTGACTGCGGGGGCAGGGCCAGACCTTGATAGCCTGCAGGGCTGGCCGAACCATAGTCTCAGGAAAGAGCCCTTATATGGCAAGTATTCACTCGAAATTTCTGAGAAGGAACTAAGATCAACAAATACCAAAACGTAAGCCAATGGGAAAATCAGATTTACAAAAATAAGATTTGAGTCTTATGAAATAAGATTTTTATCTACATATATAATTTTAAAAGACACACCATTTGAATAAATAAACCTCTTCACTGAACTTCTGGCAAAGTCCAGTGGGCCTAGATGAGGCCTGAGCAATCCTGAGATTCACACACTTACCGAACAGGAGATGATTTTCAGGCAGGTCTGCTGGAGGCTCCTAAAGCAAGGCTTCTGTTCATGGTGGACCTGAGCCCAGGAAAGTGAAGGCGTTTAGCTGCACAGCGTTCCCAGGATTAGCCGGCTCTGGGGAGGGCTGGGAGGGCAGGCTGGGGAAGGGGACCAAGCCAGTTATTGGCTGTCCAGCTATGTGCCCATGAGGTCCCAGACCATCTTCAGACCCCTAATCCTCTTGTCTGTTGGGTTCACTTTTGCCAAAATATAATTTCCTAAATGTTAAAACATGACTCCTATGCAAAACAGAGAGACATTTTATGCAGTTTATCAATTTGTGAAGAAACCTGTAAGATGGTAAACCTCATTCAAAGAACGGACTATTTATAGGCAACTGAAAAAAACAAATGTTAGGGGCTCCTGGGTAGCTCAATTGGTTGAGCATCTACCTTCAGCTCAGGTCATGATCCCCGGACTGTCAGTCACGAGATTGAGCCCTGCAGGGGCTCCTTGCTCAGCGGGAGCAAGGTTCCCTTCCCCTCTGCCTGCAGGCCTCTCTGCTTATGCACTTGCACTCTCTGTTTCTCTCTCTGTCAAATAAATAAAACTCTAAAAACACAAAACAAATGTTAGAATTAAATTGCTAAATTAGACACCACGCTGGTTAATGTCTTACAGGATAATAAAAGTGTAGGTTCTCTTTTGTGGATGGGAAGCATTTGCATCTTCAGGAGGCGAGGCAAAAACCGCACAGGTTACCCTTGTGATTTCACAGCCCTGGGGCTCTAGCCTAGGATACAAAGCACACAGGGCTCCCTTCTCTTGGAAAATCAAATGACCCTTAAAGGCTGGCAGACAGAGCCGTCCCTCAGACTGACACTGAAAGACACGTAGTCCCCCTCTGGAACTCTTTCACAGGTTGTGGATAATATCCCTTACCTCGTTCTTCCAGGTTCGGACGAGAGGCTCGATAAAAAGGCGCCCTCCCTCCAGGCGATTCCGAAGGTCTCAGTCAGACTGTGGGGACCTGGGAGATTACAGGGCCCCCGAGTCATCCCAGGAGAATGGTGCCAAGGAAGAGAACGGGGATGAGGTGTTCTCATCCAAGAGCAAGGCCCCGGGGTCCCCTGCACCCAGCCAGGGGCCGGTGGGAGAGGAAGCAGGGAGGCCGCCGGGGTCCCAGGAGAAGCCTCCTCTGAGGAGGACGTCCAGCAGAACAGAGAAGCAGGAGGAGACGGGCAAGGCCCAGGACGAAGCCCAGCATCACCCGAAGGCCATGGGGGGCTCTGAAGAGGAGGCCGGCCCGCCTCCAGCTGCCAATGAGGCTGTCCCAGCAGCCCTTGCCTCCAGCCCAGAGGCAGCGAATGGGTGCGGGAGCCCCACAGAAGAAAAAGCCCTGGGAGAAAAGACAGAAGAGTCTGCAGAAGTGAAGGAGGAGACGGCAGGAAATGAAGAGGATGAGCCCAGACAAGGTAGCCAAGGCACAGAGGTGCTGGAGGAGGAAGCTGTGGGGGAGGCCCCACCAGGCCCCACTGGAAGAGTGGAGGGCCACGGCAGTCCTGAGCAGGGGAGAGGCCAGGAGAAGGATGAAGAGGGGGCCTGTCAGGAGCCAGGCGGCCACCCCCGTGATGCAGCCCCTAAGACGGAGGTAAGTGGCCTACACGGTCAGCTGAGGCAGGCAGGGCCGGGGTGGCATGTGCCTGCCCATCCTTCCTCACAAATTGGCTCTGGTGTGCAGGAACAAAGGCCCTGGCTTGAGACAGGCCGCTGTGGACAGTGAGGGACAGACAGACCATCCCTGTGCTGGCCTTCCCATGCACTTGGCGTCCTGGGGTACTCTGGGTGCATGTGGGTATCTGGAGCTCCTGAAGGCCCAGGAGGCAGGGCCCTGTACTCAGCTCAGAGATGGAGGGGGCACCTTGCCATCAACCCGGCCAGCAGGGGAGACCTGCAGCTCCTTAGGCATGCTAGAGAGGGTTGAGTGTGGCAGCAGCCAGGGCGTCCTCTGGGGGGAGTCCAGAGCACAAGCAAGGGAGACACAGTGAGTGTGGGTGTCTGTTTAGATCATCTACAGATTGCTAGTTATTCACCTCGTATGTTAGCTTGCGAGGGCTGCCAGAACAAATTACTACCACAGACTCGGTGGCTTAAAACCATAGAAATGTATTTTCTCACAATTCTGGAGGTCAGAACTCCAAAATCAAGGTGTTAGTAGGGTGAGTTCACTCTGGAGGGTCCCAGGGAAATCTGTCCCATGTCCGTCCCCAAGCTTCTGATGACTGCTGGCAACCTCTGGAATCCTTCCTGGCCTCTTCCGGCTTCTGGTGGTTGTGGGCAAACATTGGCCTTCCCTGGGTTGTAGACACAGTACTGTGATCTCTGCCTCTGTCTCCATATGGTCTTTCCCTGGTTCTGTGTGTCTCAAAATCCGCCCCCTTTCTCTCATGAGGATACCAGTCACTGGATGTAGGACCCACTCCAAATCCAGAATCATCTCATCTTGAGATCTTGACGTTTGCAAAGATCCCAGTTCCAAGTAAGGCCACATTCACAGGTCCTGGGGGTTAGGATTGACAAATCTTTTGGGGGTATTCAACCCACTGTGCCTCCCCAGCCCCTGTCCCACTGCTTCCCCATGCACTCCAAATAAAATCCAAATGCTTCACGAGGCCCAGAATCAGAGGCTGCTGCCCACTTGTCCCTGACCCCTCCCTCCCCTCACTGTGCTTTAACCGTGCCTGTGGTTATTTTGTTCTTCAAATATACCAAAATTAGTCCTTGCGCAGAGCTCTGTCCTGCTGTCCCCCACCTGGGACACTTCTCCTGATCTTCACATGGCCACTTCCTACACATCCTTCAGATGTCCCTTGGGCCTGTGTTGACGACTTGATTCCTCTCCTGCACTATTCTATTCTGCCATCACGGTACATATCACTATTTGACATGCTCTTATATATTTTATTTTATCATCTCTCTCTACTCTTTTTCCCTCACTGCATCCCCAACACCTATCACTGAACTTGGAGTATGGTTGTTCAACAAATATATATTTGTTGAGTGAATGAATGCATTTTTAATAGAAGAGAGAAAATTTCTTGACCCACAGGAAATAATCTCTAATGATACAACTAGAGGTATAAGAAGGGCTGGTGTGTTTAGGAGAGCTCGCTGAGCACCCTCACATTACTTCCACTTAAACTAGACTGGGGAGAAGAAAGTAGGAGTCCCAAAGACTCTTGAGGTATGAGTCTCCTTTGGTTGGGCTGCTGGGCAAAGATGCTTCACATTTCTTCAACGCCATCCATCCTAAATGAGTGATCTAATCCCGTCATCCTGGAGATCTCCACCAGATGTCCAGAAGGCAAACACATGCCTCAAATCCTCCATTTTTTCAAGGATGAAGCCACTGAGTCCACGTTGTCACCTACCGGTAGCTACATCTTATTTTCAGGCTAGGAGCTGCCTGTCTTGCCAGGAGAACTTCCCATCTCATTGGTGGCATCTTCTGGCCCTGAGGGTTTAAAAAGTTGAAAGGCTGATTCAGTAAGGGGCCCCTGGGTGGCTCAGTGGTTGAGCATCTGCTTTTGGCTCAGGTTGTTATCCCAAGGTCCTGGGATCAAGTCCCACATTGGGCTCCCTGCAGGGAACCTGCTTCTCCCTCTGCCTCAGTCTCTGTCTCTGTGTCTCTCATGAATAAATAAATAAAATCTTCAAAAAAAAAAAAAAAGGTAGCAACTTAAAAAATATAAAAACTTTAAAAAAATTTTTTAATTGAAAAAAAAAAAAGAGGGCAGCCCGGTTGGCTCAGAGGTTTAGCGCCGCCTTCAGTCCAGGGCGTGATCCTGGAGACCCAGGATCGAGTCCCATATTGGGTTCCCTGCATGGAGCCTGCTTCTCCCTCTGCCTGTGTCTCTGCCTCTCTCTCTCTGTGTGTGTGTGTGTGGTGTGTGTGAGTGTCTCTCAGGAATAAATAAATAAAATCTTTTTAAAAAAAATTTTAAAAAGAGAAAGAAATCCCTTTCTCCCACAGCTGATGAGATACCACCTTCTCTTGAGTCTCCTTCTGCCTTTGTCACTCCATTTACTTCCCCCTGCTGGTTACCTGGGCAGGTCTCTGCACCTCAGTTCTGGACCTTCTGTTCTCACTTCTCTTGGGACCACACTCCCCTGCTTTCCCTCTTCAGCACCCCTCTAGCTCTGGGCTGTCTCGAGCCTGCGGGAGGGGTGGCGGGGACCTGGTCTGTGGCTGCCACTGCAGTGCTGTCCTGCACCGTCATGGCCCTCTTACCCCCTGACCTACCGTGTCTTTCTGTATTAATCCACCGAGCTAAGCCCCTCTCCCTCCACCTTCTCTGCTAAGGTTCATGAGTGTCCTTGGTGAAATTCACAAAGCCATGCTGCCTGGATGAGCTGATTATGAACTCTTACCAACGGGGCTGAGCCACATCCATCTTCCCTGCTGCCTGGGCACCCTTTCCCTGCACATCTATCACCTGTTTTCACCCACGTTCCTCAGTTCCTCCTCCTTCATCCCCTCCTGCTCTGCAAATGACTTCATCTCCTATGTGACTGAAAGGAAGAGCAGCCAGGGTGCCACCAGCCTCATTCTCTCAAAGTATGAACCCGAGGACAGGTCCCTTCTTGACAGGACAAACCCCCATCTACTGTGATCTGGCTTCCCCCAACTACCATTTTCTGGACATTTTTACAGAACATTTATGGAAGTTGTCTGTGCATTTTAAGTGAGAGATTACACTAAGGATTTCCCATCCAGCATGCACTCTTCCATGTTCTAGCTCCTCACTGGCTCACACCCTTCTGCCTACAGACCTTGCTCAGTCCTCTCCAGGCAGGAAGGAAAATCCGCCAAGTCTGCCCCTCCCCCCCACACCCATCACTGTCTCCCTTTGTTTCTCCTTGTGATGCTCTTCACTATGCTTTGAGGCTCACAAGTGCCTCCCTGCTACCAAAGACTGAGCATCCTCGCCTTTGTGAGGGGCTGACATTGGCATCCCATCCCTGAAGCTACCTGCCACCCGTAGTTTCCATCTCGTGACTGTCCAAGCAACTTCCCTCCCTCCCTGCCCCCTAGAGAATTGCTGCCACACTCTGACCATGGCAGTCTCGCCTGGCCCCTACTGCCACGCTCCAGCCATCAGGTTTTGTAAATGATTCCTAAAGTTGCACCTCACCATCAGCCACTGGATCACTCCTGACTGCTTAGCACCTGCCTGGCCCTAGTCCTGGCCACACACCAATGACCCTCTGCACTTGGATGCCTGCCAGTCCCACAAATTCAAAATCAAACTCGTCCCACTTGCTCTGTTTCTTCACTTGTATTCATCTGAAACCCCACATTCCTTTGTTATCCTTACCCATCTCTGCTAATGAGATGCTCCTACTTCTTCTACTTCCCTGCCTCCTTAGCCCCCAGGTCTCAGTGCTGTTCCCAGGTAGAGCCTTTCACTCTCCCTCCTGTTCTGTCTCCCCTGCTGTGACCCCCTTCCATGGTATCTCTATAATCATGACTCACTCCTAATGGAATTCCTGGTCTCCAGACCCACCCTATACATAGCACCAAATTCATCTTCCAGAAAATGACATCTCAGTGTGTGCTTTCCTACCCCTTTGACACTACTCCTTGGAAAATCGAGTTCATGGCTTCTTGGCCTTTTTGTTAAGATCAAGTCGGAAAAAAAAAATATCAAGTGGAAAATCGAGTTCACCCTCCTCCCCATGCAGAACTTCCCCCCACCCTCTCCTTCTCCCCCATCATGGGGCTCAAGACTCCAGCCAACACCCGTTGTTTCACAAGAGGCAACATATCTTCCCACCATCCCACCATCCCCTCCACCAGAAATGCCTGCACCCCCAAGCAAGATCACACTCACTGCTGCCTGGAAATGGTCTCACCCCATCTCTGTCCTCCACAGGCCTTCCCCAACTGCCCCAATGAGAAATACCCACAGTGGCTCATGCACCTCCTCACCTTCAGTATAGTGTGTTTGGGTGGCCCACAGTACATGCCACCTGATGCTGTGGGTACATTGCTAAAAGTCCCTGTTTCCCAACCAGGAAACTCATGGGCCTAGTGCAGCCCCAGCCCAGAAGGGCTAAACGCCATTCAAGGGATGAATGTTGAATAAATAGCTCTTTTTCTGTCTTTTTACTAAAGTACCCATCTTCTTTTTTTGATTATTTGTGTTCTTTTTCCACTTTCATGCTACTAAAGATTCTCGAGCAGCAGAACAGGAAGATGAAATAGAGTGGGAATGAATCAGTAGGTAAGAAGCTAGGGCACGGAGGACCTTGGAAGCCAGGCATCAAGGAATGGGCAATGCCATCTACCAGTTGATTGGCTCAAGCTCAATCTCTGGTCCCTGGTTTTAAATCCCAACTCCCTTACTACCTAGATGGGGGAAGTCACTTGACCTTTCTGTGCTTTAATTGCCCCACTTGCAGAACAGAGCTAATAGAAGTACCTAACTCATCTTGCTTTAGTGAGGAATAAATGAGTTGATGCATGTGAAAAGCTACATCATTATTATTACCATCACCTCTACTAGTGTAACAGTCCTGGCTGGATCTGGCATCCCCAAGGAGATCTGCCGAGTGTCAGGATTCCATCACCCTCTTGCAAACTCATTCTTTTCCTTCTGTGTTCACAGGACCCCTGTCCAGGACACTAAAATGTGAAGAACTTGTTGTGCCTAGTGACAAGGCTGCTGGAGATATCACTTTAGAAGGCGCAGCAACAAGAGTAGCAGCAAACAAAGCCATCGCCAAAGCAGAATTCGTGGAGAGTATGGAGGCAGCCTGAAGACACCCACTGTGTTGTTTCCTGGTCTCCACGCAGAATATTCCCTTGCTAACAAGGATCAGTCAGAGAACAGCAGCCTTTAATCAGCTTGAGTTTGTGTCACTTGATGGACTTGGTTTAAAAAAAAAAATATTTAAAACAGTTTGCTGTGGTGACAGCTCCCAGGAATACTGGTCAACCTGGATCCTACCCACAACCACCTGTCCCTGCGGCTGACCTCGGAACTGGATTCTGATTTTGCTTCTCAAATTTTGTTTGTGTAAAGCAAGAGCCTCTTTAATGTTCTGAAGTTTTTATGATTCTCAGATGTAAGTAAAAACTACTTTCAGGTGGCTAGAAACAAAAGAAAATAGTGTTGCTGAAAATATAAATCCCGTAAGTTACAGAAGGCCTTAAATTGTATCAAGACCCTCAGACAACCTCTCAGCTTTGTCCAAATTTGAACTGGAGAGCGGATTTTTAAAACATTGGACTGGAAAAGATACTTATTGCAACATTAACAAATATGTATCTGTTCCAGCAATAGGAGCTTTCCCTGTTCAGGAGTTTTGTAGTCCATGGTACACCGGGAGGTGACAGGCTCAGCCCACACCCTCTTCCCAGGGAGGAGGTGGAGGTAGGGAGTGAGTCTCCCACAGAAGCAGATGTCAAGGTGTCATGGCTCTGTATGCTGCACGTCCTCATCCTGAAAGCAGAGCAAGGATACCTAAACAATGCCTGCTCTCTGACTTATCCTGGGAGGGTGAAATTTGCACTTCCAGAAGGAATTCCTTGAGCAGAGAGTAAGAGGTTTCCTGGGAGGTGCTTGAGAGCCTTGTGTTTAAAAGGTACATAACAAAAAAACATCCTTCCTAGGTTCCCTGGGAAGCTGCTCTTGAATCAAAGCCCAGGCTCCCTTTCAACTCTGAGGAGGGGGTTGGGTCTTCAGTCTGTTTTCTCACTCCAGAACCCCCACTCTCCATTCTCATTCCCCTCCTCCCACTTTAAAGTTCTGTGTGGGAAGTGCCAGGGGCTTTGCAAGGAACCAGGGCCTGACTACCTATTCCTTGACTCATTTCCCCTTCCCTCTTGATGCAATGATGTTAATCCCAATGAATGTTGAATCTTTAGGGTTGGTTCTTATCCAGATCTGAATATTGCAGTGTCTCATTGTGCTAATGCGGCAGATGGAGTGGTTGTTTTTCTGGAGGTCTGTTAGACCACTTCCTACCGTGACTTCAGAAAATAGTCTCCCAGACAAAAAGGCCTTATGTCACTGCTGGTACCTCCATGTTCTCATCCCATTATGGTTTTCCTAAGTCCGGGATGGTGTTAATACTTGGGATATATTTTTTTCTTCAGAACTTTTTAAATACATGCATCTTCTAAAACCTGTAACTTAGTCAAGCCCAGTATTATTAAGTTTTATGTTTCAGCCGAATTTGGGAGATATGTGTGTTTCAGTTATTTTGAAGTCTATATAATGCATATCTATCTATCCATCCACCCATCCATCTACATCTATCCTTCATCTATCTAGCTATCAACGGAGATGTGTACCCCCCTAAACAATACATGATTTTATTTACATCTGTCTTTGGGTTGTTTATAAACACATACACACACACACACACACACACACTTATTCAGGCCAGAGTTTAGTGAATGTGTGCATGATTGTGAGCGTATGTGACAGATAGGGGACATCTGCCACTTGACTTGAAAAGGAATGGAACAGAAAGCATGGGATGTAGATGTGAAGATAAAATCACTTTTTTAAAGCTTTTATTTATTTATTCATGAGAGACACACAGAGAGAGGCAGAGACACAGGCAGAGGGAGAAGCAGGCTCCCTGCGAGGAGCCCGATGCAGGACTTGATCCCAGGATCACACCCGAGCCAAAGGCAGATGTTCAACCACTGAGCCACCCAGGTGCCCCAATAAAATTACTTTTCGTCTGGAGGCGCGACACCTTACAGTAGCAGATGGGTAAAGAGCAATAGAAAATGCCAAAAATGTGATGCTGATGGAGCAGGTGTAATGGGTCAAAATAGTTTCCCATCTGCCCAGTTCCCTAGTAGTCACGCTATTGGGTCTATTTTGTGAAAAAAACAGAGGTCCTGTTCCCAGGGGTTGCTGTGAGTGATGGGGGCTCCTGGCAGGGAATTCATGGAGAGCCAGGACTGTTCTGGCTCCTGCTACAGTCCAGTTTATCACTCTCCTTTCCTGAAGCAACCGTGATTATGCATTGCATTTGCAAATCTGGGATTTCAAGATTGGGGATCAAAGAAATCCATTTGTGTCTTAGGCAGCACAAAGTCATCACCATGCCAGGAAGACCTTTCATTCAGGCCTCCCTAATAGGCTTGAAAGAAAGTACAGATCCTTCACAGCTACAAGGCTAAAGAGAAGAGTCAGAGTCATTCCTCCTTTATCTATGTCATCCGGCTTGAATTTCAAACTGTAGCTTTCCTTTCTCCAGAAAGGGAGCTAGGAAAAAAACAAAAAACAAAAACCTGGGTACTTTGAAGGGAAAAGCCAGTATTTAGTAGGTGCCTATTATACTGCTTCAGCTGCCTTTAGAGCCAGGTATCCTGATGATCACAGGAAGCCCAGGGGCTTCAGAATCCACTCTCCTCACCAGAACACTGAGCTCACCCAGAACAAAGCTCAGTTTGCCATACCTGTTTGGGCCTGTGACCGGTCCACTGACACACAATAAATATATGTCCAATAAAGGGATAAATTAGTGGACAGGAACCAGTTCATCATCTTCTCTTGATCAGATACTCTTGGGAGTGTAACAGTTTAACACAGTGAATGAGGATCTTTAGTTGCTGATGAAAGAAACCCAACTCGACCTGGCTGATGAAAAACAGAAAACTATCTATCTATGAGTATCTTTCTCTCTCTCCCTATAAACTAAATAATATAAATTAAAAATCCATGAATAGACCTAAATATAACACTCAAGCAACGTGAAAAACCTCTCCTTGCTCTTAGTCTCTGCTTTCCTCTGTGTTAGCCATATTCCCAAGCAAGCTCTTCACAGCCTGCAAACCCAATGGAAAGAGCTTATTCTTTTCCAACCACTGGGAAAAAGTTCTGCAAAGGCTTTCTGTAGACCCTGTGTGGATCACCTGTTCATACCTGAACCAGTGCTTATGACCAAGGAGTTGCGGGGATCAGATTGGCCAGGCCTGGAGGTCATGTGACCTCCGGAGCAGGGCTCTCCGGGTAAGCCAATCCTGTACAATCTGCAAGGACTGAATGGGAACAATGGGTGTCAAATAGGGTACTGTTACCAAATGAAACTATGCTGGGTGGGCAAAAAACAAAACACTGTTAACAGATGTGTCCGACAGGGTAATCCCAGACACACCAAACTACTATTCCATTGCTTACTAAAACATTACATTTTGTTTGAACCCCTCTAATCAACTTGTGCTCTATGGACCAGGTAAAAATAGTATGAACAGAATGCTTCTATTTGATATATGATCAGGTGACTTCTTAAGATACCAAGAGCACAGAGACAATGCAAGCGCTACTCAAATAAAGTAGAATTTGTTTTCATAAGCCACCCATGAATATCAGTCTCATGATTTCATGTATACAGGGCTTGTCCAGAGCTAACCTGGAGCTCCACGAGGGTATAGTTGATGTTTTCATTGTCTGTACCGTTCTTCATTATGCACAGTGCCCATGCATTATAGGTGCTCCATAAATATTTGTTAAGTAATGAATGATTAAATTGATTTCAGAGCTGGAATAGATTATTTTCAATATTGATCACTGCCTAACACCTCCCTCATCTGATACCAAATGCCTGAAAAGTCATAATTAGCAACTATTTCCACTGGCTTCAGTCCTCTTTCCCAATCAAAATGCATGTCCTGAGAGAAGCAATATTTTAAGTTTCCTTGATCATCACATCTTGGGTTGAGTTGATTCTTGAAATACTTCCCAGAGGCATTGAAAAAAGAAGAGCAAAGTATAGAAGTCTAAAGGGCAGGAGACACCATTTTCTGATTTCCCAGCCTTGCTTGGGGGTAACTAGACTCCCACCCAGCCCAGTGATGTCCTGACCAGAGTGGGGATGGTTGCTGAGAAGAGTTTTATTCCAGCTCTGCCCTCAAATCCCAGGAGAGCTGTGAGAATTCCGGAGAGGCTCCACTGTGGTCAAATGGGGCAGGAAACTGTGGTTCTTTGAGACTCCACGGAGGGGGAAGAGACAATGTGTATGATTTATGCTTCTCAGTGAAAAGGGAGCCATGAGGGTAAAACTATCTCCCTCAAAACCTAGAGCATAAAGACTTCTTACTTCTTCTAATCCTGGAAAGTTGTGGGCTTCCCCATGGGAGCCACAACACGCTGGTCCTGGCACTGCCAGGGAGGTGCTAAGAGGGAAACAGGATGCAGAAGGAAGGGGTCGAAATGAGCAAGAGTGCCCGTTGGCACATTTCTGTGAGTAATGATGCTGGCCCTTCGGGGTGTAGTTTTACATAAAAATTTGAGAAAATTATTTGAATTTAGGCAAACCTGTAATGTCAGTTATCACACTTCTCAACTGCTTCCTTTTAAGAGAATGAGTGCACTGGATTGCACTTTAGTCAGCATTCAAAAACAAGACTCTAGAATGATTATATATGGTTGGTACTCAAAAAAAAAAAAAAAAAAAGTAAGAACTTCAATACCAGTCACTACAGTTGGGCTATTGAAGGAACCCACAGGTGCAGGATACTGCAGGCACTTCCCCATCATGGCTGTACTTGTCCCCTCAGGAGTGACCATAACAGCTTTACTGATGGCCTCTGGAAGCAGCTGGGCTGAAAAGGCAAAAGGGCCTGCTTTGTATTGCCTCTGATTCTGTGTCTCTTTTCTTCTACCAAGCACAAAGAAACACAGGGTTCTTAAAGTGTGATTTAAAGATGTTAATTATCTTTATTTTTTCTTCTCCTTTTTTTAAGATTTTATTTATTTATTCAGGAGAGACACAGAGAGAGGCAGAGATATAGGCACAGGGAGAAGCAGGCTCCTCACAGGGAGCCCGATGTGGGACTCAATCCCCAGACTCAGAATCATGCCTTGAGCCAAAGGCAGACACCCAACCACTGAGCCACCCAGGCATCCCTAGATTTTCTTCTTATAAAAGCAATACATCTTTATTTTACAAAATTTCTGGAGGAAAATAAAATTAAGTACAAAAATATTTATAATTCCACTACCTAGAAATAGCTGGTATTAAAATTTTGTGGATTTTTTTTCTAGGTTTTTTTTTTTTAGTTTTTTAATCTGTATATATATTTTTGTTTTAATTCTTGCTTGTTACAAAATTAAACTCTCACTACATGTACTTGTGCATCTTTCTTTTTTGTAACAAACTACCATGAGCCTGTCTTCATAAATAATCATGCTTCTGATCATGAAAACTACACACGTTTGTCCTATGTAGCCAATAACAGCCAGAACAAGACCAAGTCTGGATAAAACAGATCCCCTGGTAGAAATGGTGTTCTAGCAGAAAGTAGTTCTTGGGATGCCTGGGTGGTTCAGTGGTTGAGCATCTGCCTTCGGCTCAGGGCGTGATCTCTGGGTCCTGGGATCTAGTTCAGCATCAGGCTCCCTGCTTGGAGCCTGCTTCTCCCTCTGCCTGTGTCTCTGCCTCTCTCTCTGTCTCTCATGAATAAATAAATAAAATCTAAAAAAAGAAAAAAGAAAAAAGGAAGTGGTTCTTTTCACAATCTCGGCCTTGGACTTCTATCACCTTAGGACTTCAGGCACTCTCAAAACTTAAATCAAGAGAAAACTTTTGAATGAAAAAAGAAAGGGCTGATGCTGCTCCAAAGATTCATTTCTGATGATTCAGGGGCTGCAAAATTCAGAGGAATGCATGAGACAGACCTCAGAAAAAGAAATCATTGAGGGAAACCACGTAGAAATGTTTTTAGTAAAAAGTAGCTGAAGCTATTACAGGACATTGAACTGGAGTCTGGAAAAAGACACACATTTTCGATCAGATTCAAGTTTCTGTTTGGATCAGGACATGGCTTGCGGTGGTGAAGCAAATCTGCCAGTTCTGACAATTGGGGTGGCCTGAAAGTCAGTTAGTGCCTAACTTCATGAGCAGCAAATGAGGCCCGGCACACAGCCCTGAGTCTAGTCTTGTGTGCCAAGTCAGCAGGAAGGGTTCTCTGAATGGTGACCCATGCGATTAAATTGTATTCTCACTTCCAAAAAGACCAAAAACCATATCATGTCAGAACAAAGTCTGCACCACTTAGGTCTAGGTTGAGTCTGAATGCAGTAGCATGGAGACATCAGTATAAAATAGGAACTAGAGTGATTGTTAAAGCCATTTACAGTTTCAAGGCATCAACCCTGGCATCATCCCAGAGTTATTCTAATCATCTCCTAATGCACCTACTCTAATTTCGTCATCCTCCTCTCATACATCTGACCCAAGTCAAAATTATCTTCCGTCATACTTTTAACATTACCACCATTCTCCAAAGCATTGATGCCACCAGATCCATTTAATAAAATTAAAATATTAAGGCATGGATTGAAATGTCGGACAGCACTTA